AATAATAATAATAAAAAGTGCCATCAAGTCAATTCTAACTTTTGGTGACCTCTTCAGGGTTTTCTAGGTAGAGAATACATAGAAGTGGTTTACCATTTCCTTCTTCTGGGGGCATCCTGGGACTGAGCAGCTTGCCTGTGGCCATACAGGCTGTCTCTACTCATGGGAGGCAGAGCAGGGAATTGAACTCCCAACTTCTGGCTCCACAGCCAGATACCTAAAACATTGAGCTATCCAGCCAGCAGGAACACCTAGAGGGCCACATATTCTCCTTGGTAAACTTTGCTAGTAACTAGGTTGTTAGAAAGAGTTCATATATGCTATCCTGTTGTAATTCTTACGGCAATCCTGAAAGGTAGGCTGGTGTATTATTAGAGTGTTGGTGGGGAGCACTGAGGCTGAGATGGAACAGGTTACACTGGTTTCTGGTTTCTTCCAGGTCCCATGGTCTATGGAATCTGCTATTGTCCTGTGGCCCGACAGGGAGATATGGCAGAACTCAAAGTAGCAGGTAAATAAAAAGAAAAAGAAAAAGTGAGAGTACTCTATTGGACTTGCAAGGGAAAATGAATGAAGCTATATAAGCTGGGATGGGATCTGGCTAGAAAATGGAAGGAATTGCTTATTCATCTCTGCTGGCGTTGGGATGTCAAACACAGTTGCGTGCCACGTCTCTTCGTGACTGTGACCTTCCTTCCATCCTTTGCTTATAGATTCCAAGACTCTGACAGAGGCCCAGCGAGAACAACTCTTTGAGAAACTCGATGCAGCCAAGGATTTTGTAGGTTGGGCCCTACACATCCTCTCACCCAACTTCATCTCGACCAGCATGCAGCAGCGGTGAGCAGAGTGGGAGGCAAGGGTTAACCAAGATTAATCTTGGTTAATCTCTGTTAACTGACCTTACAAAACTTCTTAGTGAGTTGATTATGTTGTGCAGTCTGTATGGGTAACGGGTATCCGAGGAGGGAGGAGGGAAAGAGGGCTGGAAACTTGAAGCCACTCCTGTTAACTGACCTTACAAAACTTCTTAGTGAGTTGATTATGTTGTGCAGTCTGTATGGGTAACGGGTATCCGAGGAGGGAAAGAGGGCTGGAAACTGGAAGCCACTCACCTCTTCTCATCGTGTCCTAGACCTCAGAGGGACATCAAATATGACATTCTGAAAAAGGAGGCAGCCTTGCTGTGGGATTGCCTCAAGCTGCTTTCTGCCTGCCTGCCACTTCCAACTCAGAGCCCTGTTCTTAATTGCTAGTGCCTCTTTTTCTGGATTATGGGCTGTGGCACACAGCAGGGTGCTTTTCTTCATTGCGTCATCACTAGGAAGGTGAGAGTTGCCATCCTGTGTGTGTGTGTGTGTGTGTGGGGGGGACAGGACCACTATGGTGGGATTGCCTCAAGCTGCTTTCTGCCTGCCTGCCACTTCCAACTCAGAGCCCTGTTCTTAATTGCTAGTGCCTCTTTTTCTGGATTATGGGCTGTGGCACACAGCAGGGTGCTTTTCTTCATTGCGTCATCACTAGGAAGGTGAGAGTTGCCATCCTGTGTGTGTGTGTGTGTGTGTGGGGGGGACAGGACCACTATGGCTGACAATTGTGTGTGTGTGTGTGTGTGTGTGGACAGGACCACTATAGCTGACAATGCAATGGAGGAAGCGGCTTCCTGTGATGTTGGCCTTAAGCAGCTGGAGCACAGGAGCATCAAATGCTACCTCAAACTGAAGTCAGACTGTTGGTTCTGCTGGGCCAGTGTTATCTGTGGCATGCTTACGAAACGTTGGTCCTTCAGGTGTAACAGCTCCACCTCTAGAAGTCTTGGCCAGCATGGCCAGTGGCAAAGGAATTATGGGTGTGGTAGTTTCAGATCTCCATGGCTGATCTCTGCTGGATAGCACCTACTCTCCAGGGCCTTGGGCAGGATTTTTTTCCTCCCTGGGCTGGGAGTGTGAAGCTGGGACTACCAAGCAAGTGTCTCTCCTCTGCTCAAAGCTGCAGTCCTAGTGATGATGCTTTTACCTTCCCTCCACCCTTCTCTAATGTTTAGGCCTTAAAGCAGGAGTGGACAATCTCAGAGAGCCATTTTTCCAGCTCCCCCTGAAGTCTGCACCAGAAATTACAGGAAGTTAATTTCCAGCTCATTAAAAATAGACTTTTGGCTAAAGTATGGCTCGGGGGACACACTTGTTTGAAGGAGAATAATATCACTTAGAACTGAGATTTCCCTACTTTTTGAAAAATTCCACCATTTCATTTTTTTTTTTTTTGGTACATTCTATAGGGTCCCTAGGCCATAGGATAGCCACACCTGCCTTACAGCCAGCGTTACTTTTGTGCATCAGTGCAGCTTCTTTTTCCTTGCAGAGCAAAGTACAACCTGAATGCACTTTCACACGACACAGCCATTGGCCTAATCCAGCACGCACTGGACTCCGGAGTGCAGGTTGCAGAGGTGAGCCAGGTCAGCACTCTGCGTCTGTGAGGAGATGTATGAAATCACATATCTGAGGCTCTTTGTGGTTCCTTCCTCTTTCAGGTTTTTGTGGACACCGTGGGGCCAGCAGAAAAGTACCAAGAGAAGCTTAAGCAACGTTTCCCAGAGCTGGAGGTCACTGTGAAGCCAAAGGCAGACTCTCTCTTCCCCATCGTCAGCGCAGCCAGCATTTGTGCCAAGGTGAATGCCAGGCAGAGGACCCCATTTTGCCCTCACATTTGGAGAGACAGGCAGTCAGACTGTACGGCATGATGGGAGTGATAATTCCTTAGCATCTTGGAGGACCAACAGTTCCAGGCCCTGAGCAAAACAGAAGTTCCTTTTGCCAGAACAGAATATCTTTGATTACCAAACATGGAACTTGAGCAATAAAGAGTTGGCTACCACTGTCATGCTTTACTTCTTTCAAACAGCTAGCTGGCTGCTGTCAGAAAGATAGACTAGATCAACCTTTAGTTTTATCCAGCAAGCCCATCTCTTGTGTTCCCATTTACCTCTCCTGTCTTCCAGGTAGCAAGGGACCGCATCGTGAAGAGCTGGAAATTCTTGGAAGACCTGGAAGGTGTTGAAACAGATTATGGTTCTGGCTATCCCAATGGTAGGTCTCAGTCTTTCTGCGTAGTCTGGGAGTAGAACCATCCACACGGATTTGCAGCCAGGAGATGTGGGAGATGGTCTCCAGCTTAGTTAGTTTTCAAAGAAAATTAGACAAACATAAGCAAGATAAATATTGCACTATGGAGTGTTCCAGGGACCATCTCTTCAGTCAATTGTGCCCACCCCATTCCTCTGCCTTTTCTATCCCCTTCGTCGTAATCTCAGAGCATTTTCAAACCTCACTGGGCTAGTTTTGTATTTTTCTGTCTCTCCCTGATGGATATTTATCCTAAATGTGGTTTTTTTTGTACCTGGTGTTTTTCCTCAAGCCTGCGGCTGTCTCCTCTCCTGGGGCAGTTCTGCTGCCATTTTGGCTCCACCAGGACACACATTGGAGAGTAAAAGTTGGATGAGAGTCATAGGAGCTGTGGTCTCCAACCTATGTGGAAGGCATCAAGTTGGGAAAAGCTCATATGTTGGATGGATTCGTGCAGGAGCACCAGCGCCCATTGGACCACAGCTGCTAGGGAACAGAAGTGATTGAGGGTGGCCGTCTCTGTATGCATTGTAGGGGCTTCCTCGGAGGGATTTGGTTCCTCCTGGTGGGACACAAGCTGCTCACCAAGACAGGATAATTTGGTCCCTTCCAGCTGGGGTTGTAGAATGGAGCAGTGAGCACATAGTGCCTGAAATCCTGTTGCTTATCATAGTAGGTCATGCTGGAGTAGGCTTATTGAATCGGGGATTTGGAGAGTCGGTTCCTTGGTAAATTCCATTGATTCAAATGGGCCTACTCTAGTTGTAACCTAGTATGCCACAGAACAGGATTTTGGCCAGTGGTTCATTCAGACAAACAAGCAAAGTGATTATTTTGGGCAATTATGTTTACATTTAGTTTTATTGATGTTATTTAAAAATTACTCATTTACGTCATTTAGCTGAATGGGGCTATGCCCTGTGTGTTGTCACTCAACGGCTGTGGGATATTTTCCACTCCTTTTGTTCCACCTCATGTAGGATATGGATCCGGAATATGGCTTTTATTGTGGAAATGCTATGGGTCGACTTGTGGGATCCAGTTTTCTCTCCCCGTGGCTCAGATGAGATGAAAGCAGGATCTAAAGTGTGTTATAAAATATTGCACTCATTGCAAGTGCCAGTCTGGGTGACTGGGGCAAAATGTAGCGGTGCCCCCTGAGCCCTCAGTCTCTCATTGATCCCAGCCTCTCTTCCCTTTGTGAAGCTAACTAGAGGGGACCTGAGAATCCACCTTTGAAGAAGGGACCACCTTAAGTACTTATATCTTGGGATTCTTGGCCACACGTTCTTTTTTCCCCATTCTTTCCCCAGATCCCAAGACTAAAGAGTGGCTCACACAATGTCTGGACCCGGTGTTTGGCTACCCACAGTTTGTACGGTTCAGCTGGAGCACAGCTCAGATCATCCTGGAGAGCAAAGCCGTCCCAGTGCGGTGGTAAGTGGGGAGGGAGGAGCCGCCCAATCTCAGGAGGCCAGAAGTAGCTTGGAGTGGAAGATGAAGGGTTGCCTGGAGCCTGCAAGGGAAATGCAGCTGCAAAAAGTGATATGCCGGGCTTTCCTAGTGCTAGTCTCTCATGCATAGAAGGGAATATAAAGCAGTAAGTGAGTTGAATGGGGATAGAACAGGAAAGACGTGACACAGCAGTTCCCACAGCATGGCTGGGCAGGCGAGACATAGAGGGGCAATGGAAGTGGGTGGCTGAAAGAAAGTGGACTATGAGTTTGGGATTTAAATAGCAGAACTACATAGCTGTTTCAGTTATGGCGAGAAAGAGGGGGTTTATTTGAGCTGCATGGGTCTGCCAAGGGATTCTTTCCTTTAAACCCATTTATCTATATTCAGCAAGGAGTGGGAGCCTCTCTCTTTGGGCCCTGGCTCCTTCCTTTGATGCTGGCTTGGTTTGATCCATTGACTCCTCCATGCCATACTTTCTGCTCGGTGGTAGAGTTCTGGCCGAAGTTGCTGATGCCCAAGGATGGTCAGGAGTGCCACCCACCCCACCCCCACTCGTTCCCATGGGTTTGATAAGTGGAGCAGCCTCCCTCGCTCGAATCCAAGGGGTTTCCAGCACCCTCCCTCCCTTCGCTCTCACGCTGACCTTGATAGGCAGGGAAGGAAGGACAAGGCTACTGGAGGCGCTGGCGAGGCAGCCATTTACTTTTAGTTGGATGGCGCCGGAACGTTGTGCTCTCTTGGCAAAAGACAAAGGGCTAAATGCTGCTTCTGGAGGCTCAAAAGTGCTTCTAGAGGCTCTGTCTAGACAGAAGTGCCTCTGGGCAGGGGGGTGTCAGGCAGGACAGGGTGTTGGCTTTCAGCCTGTGCTGGACTTCCCCGAAAGATGCAGGTTTGCAACCTGGGAATTGTCCTCGATTGAGCCTTAAGCCTGAATTCCCAGGCTTCGGCAGCGGCTTGGATTCTTTGCTTTCCAGCTCCCAGTATGCTGGCCAGGGGATTCGGGACCTTGCAATTAAAAAGAGAGAGAGAGAGAGAGAGGTCCCAGGCTCTGAAATGTTGCTTCACACGGATACTGTATTTCTCCTGTCTTTTAACCCCATTTCCAGGGATGATACTGATGATGACCCATCCCAGAAAAATGTCCCATCTCTACTGAGCTACTTTGCCCGGAAACAGACACCTGTCAAGCGCCCTCCTCACCGCTTCTTTTATGAACGCAAGCTTGAGACCGTGACGGGCCTGTAGGGGGCAGCAGAGAGTTCCCTTTGTGTTGGATCCTCTTAACTTTGATTCCACAGAAAACTTTCCCTGTTTGTCACCTGGTTTTGTTAATCTGCAGTTGTAAATCCTTTGAGCCGCAGCTACAAAAGGAAATTTGGCACCGTTGCACCAATAAGTTGGGGCAGAAATTGTCTGAAAAGGGGGGGGGGCTGGTAAAGTTTCTTTTAGGTGGCATTTGTACTTCCATTTTACTTTTTTTAAAAAAATTAATAAATCAAAACAACTACTGAAAGTCCTGTTGCATACGAGAGTGTTTTGGAGGTGCACAATAAAAGTGGGGCTGAGCTGTTTTACTTCAGTCAGTGGACTCATTTGCTGGCTTCTCAGTCCCCAGTGTGGGAGGTGGTATTATCTGCTTCCCAGGGCAGTTGTGAGGCCTACTGAGATAAAAGCACATGAAACGGTCCAGATCTGACGTAGGATGTAAATGCTGAGCATTGTTCCTGCCACTTGGCAAGGAGATGAAGCTGCCTGTGTGGGAGAGAGTCTCCTTTAACACCCACACCTCTCATGGCTGACTTAGTAAAGTTATCTTTCTAGTCCAGCTATAGCTCCTCTTTGGATTAGTTCTGCTCCCTCTCATTTCCTCAGTTTGCACTGGATCCTCTACACAACCAGCCCTGTTTCTTTCTGTTTCTCTACCTAATTCTGCAGCTTCTTTGCTCAGCTGCCTCCGTCCCCCACTTTGTCTGGAAAATCAATGTCTTTTAAGAGCTTCCTGAAGACCTTCTTTCCCAAAACCTCTCCTGAACTCATAGGGTCACCATAAGTTAGAATCACCTTGACAGGACACAATTATTATTACATTAAGTGTGGGCTATCTGTTCAGAAGCCATGTGGCTGTTCACTAAGAGTTCTGAGAAAGAATGGTTTAGGATGGGCAGAAGAGTATAAAATGGAAGAACAGCTAAACAAGTTCTTTGTTCAGAAAGGAAGCTCTTAACAGATCATGAAATTGTGATGTATAATTTGGAAAACAGCATGACTAACGCTATAGTGGTGTTAAAATTGGTATTTTGTTTTACAGAATAGAAAACAGGCCTCTGAAAGAACTCTTTTTTTTCACCATTCTGTTGAAATTTGGTTTGCCATTTGTCTGGCATGTCGCAAACTATGAAAGTTGTTCAGCAGGCTGGGCAAGATCCTGTTGTTTCTGCCTTCTTGCTATTGGTTTAGCTGAGAAGAGACTCCATTCTACCACACTCATTTCCTTAGATTTTTTTTAACATTCACATATATTTATTTTCCCCACAAGTATAGATAGGTTTGAACCAACACATGATGTGCAATTTGCAACAAACAAGGTAAGCAAGCAAGGGCATGAAAAAGGCAGTAAAGCAGAGTGTATGGCTGGGACAGTTTCGGATAAGGAACGGACAGGACACAGAGATCATCTGGACAATACACACACCTACTGGAGCAGACAGAGATTGCTTTGGTGAAGTTCAAGGAATCTCACATGAAAATTTGGAGGGAACAGCTACGTATAAGGACTGTTGGGCTCTCTCACCTTTGCTTCCTCCCTGTTTTGTTTTGGTTTTTTAAAAATGAGGGTGTTTGCTATACGGCCCTGACCTTTCCTCGCTATATGCTATGCTTCACGTACAGAATATCTGAAAATATGTATTCCCTAAAACATATGCGTTGCCTGATTACACTTAAAAACAAGCTTACAGTCTTGCCACCACCACACCCCATATTTGATTGCATAAAATTTAAAACTATTAAGGGGCACGAACTACTTCAATGGCATTGCAATTATTGCTCCTTAAGTAACAGCAGCTGTCCTGGGTCCCAGCCCCTAAGCAGCTGTGGCCCTCCGGCTTACAACTCCCATCAGCCCTTAACAACACCACTGGTTCTGAAGGACTGTGAGGGTTGTACTTCTAAAAGATTTTGAGTGCCAGAGCTGTTAATTTCTGCTCTAACACAACCCAACAGCCAGCATTTTTTTCTGTTGCCTGCTGTCCCACTGGGAAGTGTACCCGAAGCCCAAGTGGAGTCTCACTTTTCCGGTACACAATACACTTGTTTCTTTACCACACCATTGTTCGCTTTCTCGAAAGAACCTTTGAAGGATTGCCCTCTTTGCCATCGCTCCTGTACCTGAGGAGAAGGTAAACAAGGACCATTTGGGCCAGCCCTTGGAAGGACCTTGGAGGTCTGATAGTATTTGGACCGAGAGGTAGGTGGAACGATACTTCCATGAATTGCTCTGTAACCATGTCTTTCTACCAGTACAACCCAGAGAGCCTGACGAAAGCAGGAGCCACAGATGGGATTTCAGAAGAGGAAGATGCCTTGGTTGGGGAAAAGCTACTGCGAGGGCATGGGACTCAAGGGCCCTGCTATGGTGCCAGATCTGCTTCCTAGACCATGACCATACCAAGTTGCACAGAGCTCTATACAGGATGGCAAGAAGCTGGTAACGTGGGACATGACAGATTTGCATAGATCACAAGCGATCCCCCCATAAGCCCCAGGCAATCACAGGGGAGGGGGTTATTTTCCCCTGGAAGTGTGGCTGTCGTGGATCAGAACCCACTCCCACTCCCCTCCACATCTTCCATGAAGACCGAGCGTTTCTGCATGTTCCTCCTCAGGCGCTGGAGCAGCAGGTTGCCTGTACAGAGCCTGCCGGTGCCAGGGCGGCCTTCTTGTCTGCTGCCTGCCTTGGTGGTGTCAGGATCTTCCATGCTGTCGCTGTCTTCGAGCTGGGAATAAGAGGCCGAGACGGCTGCGTCAGAGGCAGACAGCGTCAAGCACTCACAGGGGTCTGCGCTCACTGTGAACGTGTCGTCCCAGATGGTCTCACACAAATCCTTCCCATCTTTGTACACCTGGGGAAAGAGAAAAGGCATGTTATCATTGTGGAAGACCCTTCCTGCCTTGTTGATTCCAGCGGCCATTTCTGAGTCCTGGATAGAGCTTCAGAAAGGTACTTTTAAAAAAAAGCCTAGAACTCCCCAAATCCCTCAGCCACCATGACCAGTGAGTGCCTTTTGGACTACTATTCCCAGAGTCCTCCAGCCAGAGGGCTCTGAGAGCTGTAATGCAGAAATGAACCTTTTTCAAGGTTTGGTCCATAGGATTGCTCTTTCCCTTCTCACGTTGGTCATTTTTTATTTCCAGCTACTTGACAGATGAAAAGAAGAGTCTCGCTCTCCCAAGAATGCCGAATAAACTGTTGAATCTCACCAGACAGCGGGCTGTCCTCTTACTCACTCAATCCAAACAAGCCACTATCTGGCTAAGGAAAGATAGGAAGTGCAAGGAAACCATCTTGTACCCTCAATGTTTTGGGTTACAAATTTCATAATCCCTAACCATTGGCTGTATGACTTGGGTTTATTATGGCCCACAACATTTGCCGGATAAAAGACTTGCTGTCCAGGGCTCACCAGATTGTTTTTTAAAAAAACCTTTGTCTCCAAGAGAGTCAAGGCTTCTTACAACAATTAAAATAGACTCATTTATTTGTGTGTCCATTTGTATACCTATTGAATACATCCATTCAAAAAGGTATGTCATGTGATGGGGTTTAACTGAACTTCCCCATAAAGCTATGCTCATTTCCCTCCACTCCCTTGATGCATAGAAATAATCTGTATTTCTCTGCCGGGTAGCTACACCACGGGGCTTGACACATAATTAAAGGCACTCTCTGATTTAAAAACATAGTCCTCATTTCAGGATAGAAGGAATGGACTAAAAACCCCACTGTCACCAACCAGGTGGCATACCCTTCCAGTAATCCTGTCCTGTTATTTATGGTGGGAAAATAGTGGCCAACAATCGATTGTCACTCTGTCAGTTGCATGCAGGCCATTTCATTTGACAACCCCCTCCCTCACCCCAACTCTCTGCTCCACCTCTCTGACATTTAACCACAGGACCTGCCATAAGTGCCAGCTGAGTGGCTAAAATGGCAGGATGCCAGCGCTCAGCCGGAATTAGCTTCACCTCCAGTGGAAGAGACTGAGGCCTGCTATGTAGAATCGCATAATGCAAGAGATCTCCATTTCTCCTTACGGGGCCGGTAAGCAGTGTGACACCCTGCCCTTCGAAATGCAGCTGCTGCGTGTGTGTACCTGTTGGTCTGCCAATGGGGCGATGCCTGGTTGTAACACAGGAAGTCAGCTGAGAATGAATGAGGTCGCTGGAAAACTCTTGAGGTCACCCACAATATTTAAACAGAACGTAACAGCCTGTTCTTTGTCTAGGACATGAGCCTGCCTTTCTGATTCACCTGATAGTGAGTACTGTGGCACCCGGACTCCCACCAGCCCTTCCCACCGTCCCACAGCTGATGGGATTTGTAGTTCAGCATGATCTGGAAGGCAAGTTCCCCCACCCCTGTTCTGTAAGTTGATCCATTACTTTAAAAAAAAAAGATTTGGAGGCAATACCACAACTATCAGCACGTCTATCATTTAAAAATAAATTATTCTGAAAAAAGCTGCAGAATGTGAGTGTTCATTTATATAAGAATATATACATGAATAATATGTAAGTTTAATTCCCCCATATTTAAGGAAACAGAATTCGGCAGCCCGAGGAAAGCTGCTTGTTTTGCTGTAACACTGTTTCTGGTTTTCTCCAATGAATGTCACAAGATATAGACAATAGTTAAATATGATAATATTGTTTACTTGATGGTAGCAAAGAAATATCTAGGGCAGGTGTAGGGAGAAGCATAGGAAAGAGCATGAAAAGATAGCTGAAAGAAAGTAATACAAAAGAATATAATAATTGCATGCCATCAAATCAGTTCTGATTAGAGCTGGGGGTATTTGTATTTGAATACGAATACCCCCACACAGGTGGACATAATGAGGGTCCAGCCCCCTGGGGCCGGAAGGTCCACTCACCTTCCGCTGTTGCTGCGGGCTCCGTGCTCCCTTCCTATTGCTCCGGAGCTCACGGTCTGTGAGCCACTCCTGGCAGGAGGATGAGACTCGCTGCCAGGTTGAAGAGTGGCTTGCAGACTGTGCGCTCCGGAGAGATAGGAAAGGATCGCAGAGCCCACAGCAACAGCGGAAGGTGAGTGGACCTTCCAGACCCTCATTACATCCACCTGTGTGGGGGTATTCATATTCATATACGAATACTCCCATCTCTGGTTCTGATTTATGATTTCCAGGTTTTCTAGGTAGAGAGTGCTCAGAAGTGGTTTATCATTCCCTTCTTCTGGGGGTGCCCTGGGACTGTGCAGCTTGCCCAAGGCTACACAGGCTGGCCCTACTCACAGGAGGCACAGTTGGGGGGGGGGACTGAACTCCCAACCTCTGGCTCTGCAGCCAGATACCTAAGCCACTGAGCGATCAAGCTAGCAAATAAAATATAAAAATAAATATAAAGGAATAAACCCACAGACAAAACCAACAATTTAGTCTCACTATTCCTCCCAGTCCACCATGGTAATAGGATAAAAGGATAGGCTTGATGAATCTCCTCACCACCACATTGCAGGCATCTGCCTGCTGGCGTTTAAAACCTCTTTTCCAACTGGTGTCAATTAGTAGTCAAAGGTTACCTTCCGCCTGTAGCGCCCTCACCTGGCTATATGGAAGACAATCGTGACTGCAGTTATTTCCATCAGGCCCCCATTTCCAGTCAGTAAGCCAGTTGCGAGCACAGGTCAGATCATCCTTGCAAGCATCGTACCTGAGGTAACAATGAGATAAAGCAGTAAGGAAGACAGTTAAACTTTCATTTTATTACATTTGTATCCTGCCTCCTCCAAAATGTTGGCATTTTATTTGCAACCTCACATGCTGCCTGTAATCTGCTTGACTGGGAGGGAGTCTTCTGGGTTGGGTTAATATCCAGCATTAACCAATCATTCTTTCCAGCCTTTAAATTCAAAGAGAGCCCCATGTCTCTGCTGAGCTTCCTTTCCCTCCCTGTCTTTTCTTGCTTGGAAACAGCCTGCTGTTTCTTTGCTGTTGATCTGTATTTTTGGTTGGTTGCTAGTATATGTGCAGTACAGAAAGCAACATGGGCAAATCTGTAAGTTCAAGCTACTGTAAGAAATGTATTTTATTCTTTCTCATACAAATGTCTCAGAGTGAGCTATTGAGACTTAAGTACCAGTTAATGAGAAAGGGGTGGACTAGGGGGAATTTGTAGCTATTCTCCTCTGTGAGTCTCTGTATTTCTACTGCATAGCAAAAAAAAAAAAATATCAGAAATTTTAAAATCTGCAACATAAATAACTTGAGGTGGTGTATATTTGTTGTTGTTGAGTACCATCAAATAACATCTGGTGACCCTAATAGGGGTTTCAAAGTATGTGAGACATTCAAGGAATGGTTTATCACACTAAATTTCCATTGCTGATTGGGATTTAAATTTGTATCTTTTGAGTCCTAGTATGACACTACCTCACTCAGGGTGTGATGTACATACAGTAGTTCCCCCAACCTCTTTTATCTTTGCAATAATCCTGTGAGGTAAATTAACTGAGAAGCAATAGTGAATGACTTGAGGTTAGCCACTGTGCTTTATGACAGATGTCCCATTCAGGTGTTCTACAATTAACTAAAATAAACGCCTGAGGAGGTAGCAATTCTGTTACATCCTACATATGGAGACTGTTTCTGAAGGGGAAAGCTTCTTCTAGCAGTGGGAAAGGAGCATTCAAAATTGCATGGACCACCTCCACAGACAGAGGAGGTGCTTTCAAGAAAATCAGCTTTTACAGGAAAGTAATGGCAATTATAATGGATGAGGGTATGGCTGACCCACTTTCCTCTCTGCATCTTTATTCTACTCACTTTCAAAATGCCTGTATAGTGGCTATGTGGAGTTGTGAACCTGGATCACCTGGACCTTATGTGCTACCCACAACACTTTTTAGCTCAGCAGACGGTTTCTACTTTCTGTGTTCAACAAGAGGCTCTCTCTGCCCTTCTGCTCCCCATCAGCCAGTATTCTTTTAGTCTAGAAGGTAGTTTAGAACCCCTAGCAGGGTTTCATGACCAACATAACAAAGAAGAAGTAGGTTTGTGGGAGATGGTGTTATTCTTAAAAAAACATATATTTTCTTCTGCTAGGCTTCTCCATATTTGGTTTCTTTATTCCTAAATAAAATGAGTTGTGTTCTAAGAAAGATACGAACAGGACCAATTAAGCTGCTTTAATCACAGTATCAAACTGATGGTGTAAATGTTACTGTTTTTTTCAGAGTTATATTGGATATTTCAGTGACAAATGCCCAATATCAAAGGGGAGGAAGTGGCTGTATGTGTTTTACCCCTTTAATGCCTCAGAAATGGCATAACTTCTAAATAACTTCTAAAACGCAGTTCTGTGTATGAAGTGTTTTTTTTAAGGGACTTGCTTTCCAAACAAGTGCATGTGGGATCACAGCCCTAGTTGGATTCCTCTGTGCAATGGTCAATGTCTTAACCTGCATGAATGAGACACAACCATTTGCTGACATTATCTGGCTCTATTAAATTGAGAAGAGGGCACTGCTTCCCCCTTTCTTCATCCTTGACCGGACTCTCTACCCCTCACCAGCCCAGACACATCGGACTTACCACTGGTCACAGAAACTCTGGCAAAGAGGCACAGCCAGCAAGGCTGTGGGGCGATGGGGATGAGGCCACTGGAAAGCCATAGGGGAACAGCGGTAGAAGCATTCCACTTGCTGCAGATACTCCTCACATCTGCAGGGGAGAGGGAAACACGCGTGACAGTGGTAGCAGCAGCAATAAATACTGGCCAGAGTTACCTTGGTTAGTTAGGCCCGTATTAAGTGCAGTGGCATAAAGGGCAGAGTTCAATTGCTGCAAATTAGCATGCTGTTGTTTGTATCCCTTCACTATGCAGCAATTAACATGACTTGGCCCATCATGAGGGACATAAATGTCAACTTGTTCACCAGCAGTGATTTGCTACTGAAATGTCTACTGCTCGTACAACCGGGTGTAACTAACCAAAAATAATTCTGGCCAATGGCACTATGTTATCAAGAAAGAAGAGGATTGATCCAAAATGGTAGGCCAAGGCAACTCGCAGCAGTCTTAAGAATATCAGAAAAGACAGGAGATAAGTGAAGAAGAAGAGAAATTAAGCCCAAGTGCCAGAGGCCTCCATTCAAAATCTGCCTTGTCACCAGAGAAGATGTGGCATCCCTCTTTGGTAGCAGATTTCAACTGGCATGAAATGACAACAGATTACAGTATTTGTTATTTATTATTGTTCTGTTTCTCTGGACAGAGATGGGAAGGCTTTCTGTCTCAAGCTGGTCTGGCACAGCACTTAGAAGTCGGTAGGTGGGGAGACGACATTTGTTCTGCCACTTCAGGCAGCAACATGTCTTGGGTGGCCTCTTCCCCACTTTAACCTTAGGTCATCTTAGGTAAAAAAAAATTTTCCCCCTAGTGGTAGAGTACGTATTAACCAGCTTTGCATTAGTTCCTATGGGAACTAATGCTTCAATATACGAACGCACCTCTACATAACAAAAACCAGCCAGAACGGATTAATTGGTTTTCAGCCCATTCCTATGGGAAATTTTGCTTCAACTTAAGAACGTTTCAACTTAAGAACACCATTCCAAAACCGATTAAGTTCTTAAGTAGAGGTTCCACTGTAGTTTCTATGGACGGAAAAGAGCAGATACGGATTAAATGGTTTTCAATGCATTCCTATGGGAAATGCAGATTCAACATAAGAACTTTTCAACTTGAGAACCACCTTCCAATACGGATTAAGTTCTTAAGTAGAGACCCCACTGTATTGTTCTGTTTCTCTGCTCAGAGATGGGAAGGCTTTCTGTCTCATGTGCCAAAAATAAGCTAGTCTGGCAAAGCACTTAGAAATCGGTAGGTGGGGAGACAACATTTGTTCTGCCACTTCAGCCAGCAACATGTCTTGGGTGGCCTTTTCCCCACCCACGTTCTTGACACTCTCTGAGATGATTTCTTGGGAACTCCAGAAAGGAAGGGCTCAGCTTTCCTGTTGTATAGGAAAAGAGACTTGGAGAAGTGTGGTAGGGCAGCAAAGAAGAGCGACAGGAAAGCAGATGCAGGCGGAGAGACTGGGGCCGTGCGACTGACCTGTGACTTAGGCTTCCACAGCGGTTCCAATAGATGTCATTGGCTTTAGAAAGGTCCTGGGTGATCTCTGAGGAACAACATGCATCTGTGGAAAGAAACCTCCTGTCAGCATCTCTGTCCCTTTAGACCAAGAAAAAGCACATGAATTCTGGCACTCTTATGCATTTTCTATGTGCTTGCAGTTATGGGGCTCTTCTTACTCTGTTAACCGGAACTGGTGCAAATGTCATCTGATCAACTAGACTGTTGTGTGATGAGTTAATTCAGGCAGGCCACTCACAGCTTATTCTAAGTCTGATATGGACTTTATACACCTCCCTGCACTCCCCTTTCCTCTCCTCCAACGGTCTTCTGCCTACAACATCCGAAAGTTTTAAAAACGCCCATATGGATGCCAGAAGCCTGTGCTGAGCTCCTTATGTACACTGTGCCATCTGTGGCCCTGGCTCGTCCATCAGTGCAAAGGTAATGAAGCTGTAGACCTCAAAATGGAGGACCACAACTCCATGCTCCCTGGCAGTTGGCTAGGCTGGCTGAGGCTAATATGATCTGGAACCCAGCAACATCTGGAGGGGTCACCTTTGCATCAGTCCATATGACTTGTACTTGTTGCAGTAAGCCATGTTAGAAAGCCAAATTTGATCATCTGGATTATGATGAGCACCACAGATTACAAGAGATGCTATTTTTAATAGTCTTTTGATGCTTTTAAAAATCATTCATGCTCAAAATAGAAGACAGATTTCTAAACCTTTAAAGCAACTCCCAGCACCACTAGTCCAGCATCCCTAAGGATGTGGGATGCTGTGAGTTGCTCGTCAACAGCACGCGGATGGCTGCATTTGGCCCACTGATGTTTTCAAAAGTAAAACCCTGGATGCCTGACAATATGATGGTTTGTTCTTTGTTGACCCTCCAGGTTTAGGGTCTTGAACCAATACTGGAGAACATTCAGTGCCTGGATTCTGTAATGAAATGTTTTGAGAACACTGGGTTTAGCAGCCCATCACAACAGCGATGTATCATTTGTTTAGTGTAGTCATTTATCAGGGAGAATTAAATATTGCTTAGTAGCTGCAGTCCCACAGGTTGCCCCATAAAACAGCTGGCATACAACCAGCCAGTTATGTGCTCTTAAGTCAGACTCAACTTATAGTGACACTAATAGGGCTTTCAAGATAAATGAGATGTTGTATTTAAGGGGTGGCTTTATCAGTTCCACATTCCCAGTGAGCTTCCATGGCTAAGCAGGGATTCAAACCCAGGCCTCCTGCGTTCTAGGACACCACTCTGTTACACCACACTGGGTACTGAATGTACCAGTAGAGATATGCAAATTTCTGTTTTATGCTATTCCGCCCGGGGAATTTGTGTTTTGTGCTATGGGCTTTGTACTTTAAAAAAAGTACATTGTTGATTTCTGCTGGCTGACTGTTGACAGTTCTGACATACTTTTTTTAAATGACAGACAGCAATATATGCAAAACATGCCTTATTGGTGTTTGGGGGAAAAAATAAAGTTAATTGAAAGATGGCAGCCATTTCCTTTACAGAATTAAAAATCAACCATTTGTGTACAGGGCAATTTGAAGGTTAAATCAATTCCCAAGTTGATAGGAAGTGCGAAAGATTAATATTTAAAGCAGAGAGAGAAAAAACCTCTCCCATTTGAGCTGTTGTTACATAACTGGTTTATTTCTGGAAAGTGTTCTTGTAAGTCATGTACCTGCTCACAGAACTGGCTGTGAGCATCAACGGTATAAGTGATTCTGCTATTTTTGACGTCCATTGATCTCTTCTGCCGCACTGTTTTAATCTGAGTGATTTCCTCTGTTGTTGTTTAGTCGTTAAGTCGTGTCTGACTCTTCGTGACCCCATGGACCAGAGCATGCCAGGCCCTCATGTCTTCCACTCCCTCCTGGAGTTTGGCCAAATTCATGTTGGTAGCTTTGATGACACTGTCCATCCATCTCTTCCTCTGTCATTCCCTTCTCCTCTTGCCTTCACACTTTCCCAACATCAGGGGCTTTTCCAGGGATTCTTCTCTTCCCATTAGATGGCCAAAGGATTGGAGCCTCAGCTTTACTATCTGTCCTTCCAGTGAGCACTCATGGTTGATTTCCTTCAGAACGGATAAGTTTGTTCTCCTTGCAGTCCAGGGGACTCTCAAGAGTCTCCTCCAGCACAATTCAAAAGCACCAATTATTTGACGCTCAACCTTCTTTATGGTCCAGCTCTCACTTCCATACATCACTAATGGAAAAACCATAGATTGGACTATGCGGACCTTTGTTGGCAAGGTGATGTCTCTGCTTTTAAAGATATTGTTTAGGTTTGTCATTGCTTTCCTCCCAAGAAGCAGGTGTCCTTTAATTTCGTGGCTGCTGTCACCACCTGCACTGAGCTGCTCCATCTTTGGCTGTAGAGAACATAAAACAATCTGATTTCAGTATTGCCCATCTGGTGATGTCCATGTGTAGAGATGTCTCTTGTGTTCTTAGAAAAGAGTGTTTGTGATGACCAGCTTGTTCTCTTGACAAAACTCTATTAGCCTTTGCCCTGCTTCATTTTGAACTCCAAGGCCAAACTTATATGTTGTTCCTTTTATCTCTTGACTCTCTACTTTAGCATTCCAGTCCCCTGTAATGAGAAGAACATATTTCTTTGGTGTCAGTTCTAGAAGATGTTGTAAGTCTTCATAGAATTGGTCCATTTAAACCTCTTCAGCTTTGGTGGCTGGTGCATAAACTTGGATTACTGTGATAATGAAAGATCTGCCTTGGATTCATACTGAAATCATTCTATCATTTTTTAGATTGTCTCCCAGTACAGCTTTTCCCACTCTTTCATTGACTATGAGGGCTACTCCATTTCTTCTATGGGATTCTTGGCCACAATAGTAAATATAATTGTCTGATTGGAATTCACCCATTCCCGTCCATTTTAGTTCACTGACACCCAGGATGTCAATGTTTATTTTTGCCATCTCCTGTTTGACCACATCCAGATTACCAAGGTTCATAGATCTTACATTCCAGATTCCTATGCAGTATTTTTCTTGGCAGCATCAGACTTTCCTTTCACTTCCAGGCACGTCCACAGCTGAGCATCCTTTCAGCTTTGGCCCAACTACTTCCTTAGCTTTGGAGCTACTTGTCCTTCTCCTCCACTCTTCCTCAGTAGCATGTTGGACGCCTTTCGACCTGAGGGGCCCATCTTCCAGCATCATATCTTTTAACCTTTTGTTTCTGTCCATGGCGTTTTCTTGGCAAAGATACTGGAGTGACTTGCCAGTTCCTGCTCCAAGTGGATCCCGTTTAGTCGGAACCCTCCACTATGTCCTGTCCGTCTTGGGTGTCCCTGCATGGCATAGGCCATAGCTTCTCTGAGTTACTCAAGCCCCTTTGCCACGACAAGACAGCAATCCATAAAGGGGGATTTCCTTTACCACTTCAAAATAATTGGGCTTTCTTGTATCCCTTGGATGACCAGATGACAAGGAATATCTCTAATCAGCAGACTTTTCCAACCTTACATTTCCAGTCTTTGTTGGGCTACACCTCCCATTACTTGACTATTGATCTTTTTGGCTGGGAATGATGGGACTTGTAGTTTGACAGCATCTTGTGGTGGGGGGACAAAGATGGATAGAAAAAGGAATTATGGGGTATCCAGCTTGTCAACAAATGGGGAGAAACACCTTCCCAGTGGAAACCTTCTCTTCTATGTTACTCTTGTTAAGCTTACAGGAGAGACATCTGATTTCTTTAATTCCATTTACAATGTCATCAGTCCTCAGGAGATTTGTTTATCAGCTATTCTGTGAAAGAAGAGACTTGTGGGAAGACCCAGAAAACTTGGGGTGCAGAGAACCTTGACTTTCCACAGAGCTCCAGCTTTGCAAGCCCTGTAGCTTCCCTCCGCCCCCACCCAACCCCAGAACCCCCAACACATTGTCCCCAACCAATACTCACTTTCTGCATAGACCTGGCAGACACCCAGCTGTCCTTCTGGGCTTGGGCTGGGCTTGTGCTTCCCTCCTGGCAAGCAGCGACCTTCTGTGGCCAAAGCAGTGGCCCCCAGCACGGTCAGCGCCCAAGCCATACCCATCATCCAGAAAATGCCGCTGCCACTGTTCATGATTGCTGAAAACAAAAGAGAAGGGTTACTAAACCAGTTCAGATATAATTGCTCCCATCCCAACCTTCAAGCATGCCGGCCTGATTACTCAGTACAGACTCCCCCCTCATGCTAGCTCCCACCTATCTGTCCCTGCCTAGCTAGATACAGGATGCTTTCATTGCCATCCCATTCCCAAAACTCCCTTTTCTTTCTCTGTTTTGATAATCCACATTGTACGGATATACCCACATCCCTCTCTTTGTTCCCCGTCTGACTTTGGAGTGAAAAGCCTCCTCCTGGTGCTCTTTACTCCCCTCCCCCCAAGGTAATTCAAGGCATGCCAACATGAGGCGACTCTTTGGCACCCAGATTTTAGCCTGCTGGCCTGAGAGGAACACCAGCAGCTCTTGCACTGCCTGGAGCAAAGTTAAGGCTTTCTTCATAAAACAGCTGGAGCAATCCATCCATGTCCCAATTCCTGCAAGGCATGAATTGGCAAGCCCGCTGCCCCTTTCTAGAAGCGATGCTGCTGGCTGGGTAGCTCAGTGGTTCAGGCATCTGGCTGCAGAGCTGGAGGTTGAGGGGTTGATTCCCCACTGTGCCACCTGTGAGTAGAACCAGCCTGTGTAATGGTAAACCGCTTCTGAGTATTCTCTGCCTAGAGAATCCCAGAAGGCATCGCCCTAAATCAGAATCGACTGGACAGCACACCAGGATTATTATTAGAAGCAATGAGGGTAGATGGGGTGGACCAGTCTGCCAATGAGATGCACACTGGGGTCAGGGAGGGGGGCGAAGGGGGAGGCCAGCATTTGCCATCAGTTTCTAGCAGGGTCTCTAGGGGCTTCTACATAATGTTTACTTTCATTATGTAGATATTATGCAGCCATTCTGCCTTCTCCTCCTTTGCTGGCTTATTATCTAATAAGACAAAACAGTAGGAGAATTGATGTGGAAACATGGGGACTGTCATAAATAGAAGAGTGGGTCCTACATAACAATTTGGAGATTTGCACTAGTTTTCTGCTGAATATCACCACCCCATCCCCTGCCCCCTGGACTGCTTGCGGTCCTGCAAAGTACTGCTCCTTGCAAATAGTTCCTTCTGGGACAAATAATAGCTAGAGTTCATTTTTAGCAGGAAGCCGACATAGGGTTCCAATCCAGATCACAAGCACATTTGTCTGAGGGGGCAACTCTCAGCATATCCAGCCTCCTGTGCTTTTTGTGCTGCTGTAGAACGGACTATCCTGAGGGAGAATTTCTGCGCAGCTCAAAACCATGCACATTCTTGCAACAGCAGCAGCAGCAGCAGCAGGAGCCACCACCTGGCAGCTTAGAACCTGGAGGCAAAGCAGGTGAGAGGCACAGAGGTTCAGCTGCACCTCAGACTCCTCTGTATCAACAGCTTCCAATGATGTCTGCAAAGTGTTCTGGTACAGGCGGACACAGCGTGGTGACAAAAATCGAGGAAGGCAGGTAGGGGGTTGTATTGAAATGGGTGGCATGGTAGCCATGGGTCACCACATGTTAGATTAGAGACTGAGGCATAGGAGAGGAGGTTTCAATGCAGGGTAGGCAAAATGGGGCTCTCTACAGATGTTGTTGGGGAACGACTCCCAGTGGTCCTAGCCATAGATCCTGCAGGTCGGGTCTGCTGGGAACGATAGTCCAACAACCTCCAGAGGGATCCACTTTACCAGTCCTTGTTTCAGGGGCTGCACCTATAAGCCCATCATCAGGCCTGGCCTATTGCTCCCTGCTTAAGTCCACTGCTGTGGCTTTCAGATTTGGCTTGAAATGCAGTCCATTCCCTTCTTCCAGTCTCTTATGCCTTTCTGAACATGGCAGCTCTGAAAGGAGATCATGGCCCCTTTCAAGAAAGACAGTTCTGTCCACATTGTAGGTACAAAGATTTCCTGCTATTGTCTCTCCCCACCCCCACCTCCACCCGCTGGCTGACAGGGTTAGAGCAACTACAGTATTAGATTTCCTTTCAAGACAGAAATAGGGGAAAGTGAAAAGCATTTGATCTGTCATGTCTTTGAGCAAAATGGGCCAGAGGGCAAAATCTCCCTACCTCAAGTACTTCTCAGAGCAAGGTGAGCCCTCCCCGCTCCCCAATCCTTTCCTTGTCAGCATTTCATTTGCCACAATATGAGATGACAAGGCAGGTCTGGATCATCTGCTCCTCAAAGAGGGAACCATCTTGGGTCCTGGAATGTTGATTCACCAAGGAAAAGGAGTCTCAGCAGGGCTTCCTCTCAAAACCAATTTAGTCTGAACCAAAACAGCCAGCTTCTTTAAGGCTTGCAGTCTCTAAATCATGCAGAACACAGTTAGGAAATATGTGGCCCTCCACATGTTCCTAGACTGCAAGTCCTATGGGCCCTAACCAGCATACATAGTGGTGAAGGATGATGAGAATTAGAGTCCAACATATAGGCCACATGTTTTCCATCCCTACTTTAAGACTTAGAACATAAACACAATCCATGTTCAAACCTTATTCACTAAATCTGTTGTCTACTAGCCATTGCTCTCTGCTTTTTTATTTGAAGATGTTCATCTCACTCTGGTCTGGTTTTTAAAGAATATTTCCTCTGACTGTTTACTGTTTTTAAAAGTTCAGCAGTGCTGGAGATGCACAACAGTGAAGCCCAGGTATACTTCTTTCACCTCCCATTTTCGAGTCACCCAGATAGGTGGGGTATAAATTAAGTAAATAAATAAATAAATAAATAAATAAATCATCATCATCATCATCATCATCATCAGATAAAAAGAGTAACCACAGCACTCAGTTATAAACTCTGTAGCAGACTGCTCCATCCAGATGTTGGACTACAACTGGCCCATGTAGCTGGGAATGACAGGAGTTTAAGTACAAGGGATCTGGAAGGCAGCTGGTTGGAGAAGGCTGGTCTACTACACGTTTTCCACCAACTCCCTCTCCTCAATCCCCAAAATTGTAATCAGATATGATTCTCAATCTGGTACATCATCTAGTTTCCAGACACTGTCGCAAAGCATTTCTCTCTGATAGGTTCTGAGTGGCTGTGACAAATCAAATGGAAGCTACTTACATGAGCTCTCATCATGCTGCTGGGGCTTTGATTTTTTTTGCATTTGTGATCTACAAGAAGTGGGATTGTTCTGGTAGATGCATATGACATTCATTGTATAGTACTTCTTATCTTACAATGCCAATCTAGGCAGTGCATTTCTGCATCAGCTAAAGCAATCCTAAACAAAACAACAGAGATAGAATCATAGAATAACTGAGCTGGAAGAGGCTTATAAGGCCATCGAGTCCAGCCCCTAGCTCAATGCAGGAATCCAGATCAAAGCACATCTGACAGATGACTGTTCAATTTTCTCTTGAATGCCTCCAGCGCTGGAGCACTCACCAATTTCCTAAGGTAATTGGTTCCTTTGCCATACTGTTCTAATAGTTAAGAAGTTTTTTCCTGATATTCAGCCAAAATCTGGATTTCTGTAACTTGAGCCTATTAGTACATGACCTGTACTCTAGAATGATTGAGAACAGATCATGCCCTTCCTTTGAATGACTACCTTCCAAGTATTTGATAAGTGCAATGAATAAGTGCACCAGAGGCATCTGGTGAGGCCATTATGAGATACAGAAAGCTGGACTAGATGGGCCCTTGGCCTGATCCAGCAGGGCATTTCTCATGTTCTTATGATCTCTCCTGTTGATCTTCTAAGGGGAGATATGAACATGCTCTCATTATTTTGCATTTTACTCATGCACTTGCGCTTTAGCACACAACAGAGGAGGGGGAATTTGAAAGAAAAGGTGGGGGAGAAACTGTTTAGCAAAATACAAAGTTGTAGAGGTACAAACAGCTAACGCAGATGAACATCTCATTTTATATAAAATCCCCCTTGATCGGCTGCTTTGCAAGGAAAAAGAGAGGAGGGTGAGAAAGAGCAAACTGCTTCTGTGCTTCCTCTCCTAGGCAGATTAAGCTAGCTGTGGAATGTGAAAGGTTCTGTGGGTACCTTTAACAAGTAAGGTTGGCTGTGCAGTCAGGAGATGCAGGACCAACAAAGTAGCCTAGCTTCAGCAATGGTATCATACTAGAAGCATTACAAATGCTTTCTAGTTAACTTATAAAAGGCTTGTGCTGCCTTGGATCCCTAGTGCTCTTCCTGGGAACCCTTGTAATAGAAAACTAATAAACACATTTTTTTTCCGGGGAAGGGGGAAGAACGTTTTTAAACTTGATTTTTAATCTTGAAAGCACATTGCTTTCCAGTGATCATGTTGCTTGTTCTAACTCCACTAGGGCCAAACCACCAAGACTATCTTTTACACATGCAGAGCAGAGACTAAAGTGCCCTTGTCTCATCTGGCAGCCTCCCAGGATATCACAGAATCAAGCTTGGTTCTGTCAAGTCTATGTTGACATGATGCTTGTTGGCTCAAAGCGGAAGTGGAGGCATGCTGACCCTCCAGGATGCTTTGGACTACAACTGCCCCTACCTCTGACCACACTGGACAGGGTGGCTGAGGCTGAAGGGGTTAAGGGTCTTCTGGCATATTTCCACCCCTGGTCCAAAGCCTTCTCATTTTCTGAGTTACAGTTCTAGAGACATCTCCCCACCCTAGGTAAAGGTAAAGGCTCCCCTTGACAATTTTTGTCCAGTTGTGTTCGACTCTAGGGGGTGGTGCTCATCCCTGTTTCCAAGCCATAGAGCCAGCGTTTTGTCCGAAGACAATCTTCCGTGGTCACGTGGCCAGTGCGACTTAGACACGGAATGCTGTTGCCTTCCCTCTGAGGTGGTCCCTATTTATCTACTCGCATTTGCATGCTTTCGAACCGCTAGGTTGGCGGGAGCTGGGACAAGCGATGGGCGCTCACTCCGTCGCGTGGATTCAATCTTACGACTGCTTGGTCTTCTGCCCCTGCAGCACAGGCTTCTGCGGTTTAGCCCGCAGCGCCACCACGTCCCACGTCTCCCCACCCTACTCACAGGCTAATTCACTGCTAGACTCGTGATTGTTTACAGCAGTTTATACTCTTGGTTTTGGAGGATAAAGGTGTCACCCAGTGTTAGTCCTCTATGTCTGCACTGATACTTAATTTGTCTCTCAGATGGACTCACTCTGCTTCATCCTTATTTCTTGGCAAGGAGCCTGGAAAAAACTTGTGGCCTCAATTCTATCAAAGATTAGGGACAGGTCTCAGAGAAGAGGGCTTCTGGACTTGAGCTACTGCCATCTCTTCCCTCCTTCCTGCCATAATTAGCCTTTGAGTCACCACATTCAATGCGCCAGAAGTATTCAGCTCTCACGTGTAACCCTGCTAGCACATGCATCTCCACAAATGGTGCTTGCAAATGTTACCTTCTGAATGGCAACCCTCAGAATCTCCCAGTCAGCCTGGCTACTGTCCAGGCTGGCTGGTGGATTCTGGGAATTTTAGTCCATACTAACATTTCCTAGCTCTACTTGGGCATAATGAATTTCTCAAATGGTCTTTCTTGTTGTGTGTCAGTAGAAGGAACTATAAAGGGATGGGCAGCTTTAGCAGGTCCTGGGGGCGCAATTTGGTGATCCTCATTAAGCACACAAATGCAATAAACAAACAGAGGGGCGGGCGGGCGGGGGGACGACGGACAGACAGACAGATGGGGAACCAAAAGTCCCTTTCTGTTTTTTAAAATGGTTTTTTAGGTTATTAAAAACTGCAGAGTAAGCTCCACCATGACTGCTTTAAAATATATATATCTCTGCAAAAATGGTTAAGGAGGCAATCACCTGTATTTAACCTAATCAGCTCTTTGAAAATCTACTGTTATTGTTCTATGCTGTCAAGTTGCCTCTGACTTATGGCAGCCTATGAATGAGCAATCTCCAAAATGCCTTTCCTTAATAGCACTACTCAGTTCGCACAAACTCAAGCCTGTGGTTCCTTTAGAGCAGGGGTTCTCAATCCCTGGTCCACGTCTCAGTCCCGGTCCACGGCCTTGGAAAGAACAGGCCGTTGGCACAGATGAGTGATGAGCAGGAGGTGAGTGGCGAACGAAGCTCCGCCTCCTGTCAGTGTGCACCTCTTAGGTTCTAATGCCACTGCTGATCTGACAGGAGGTGGAGCTTTGCTCAGCGCTCCCCTCCTCCTGCTGCTAGACCAGCTGAGCCTGTGGTATTAGAATCTATTAGGAGCCTGCGCTTCTGTTAGGTTCTAAGCCGGTGCTGATCTAACAGGAGGCAGAGCTTCAGTTGTAGCTCACCTCCTGCTCACCGCTCACCTGTCGCGGCACAATACATGTAATGAGCTCGATGCTCTCTATCCTCCAACAACCTACTGCATAACAAGTATGCACACACACACCGAGTCCTTGGGAGAATGGTCTTCAACTACATAAATACATGACTTTGTTATCCAGAAGGTGAATCTCTGCTCTTGGAGGTATCCAGTTTCTGGTAATTCAACTCTTTTTCTTCCTTTCTGAAAAAAATCATTTTTGGCAATAGATGGAGGAGTTTGGTGGGAGATGAAAATACAGGATTTCACATACAGACCCATGCTTTGCCACTACCTATATTGCATGCATTAACTCTTTTTAAAAGGCTAGTTTTGCCTATATCTGGATTTGCTTATTCCATTTATATTCCAATTTGATCCAGCGAGCTCAAACAAATACATATATATGGCTTTCCACCTTCTGACTTAACCCTGGTAATAACCCTGTGAGGTAGGTCAAGCTGAGAGAAAATTACCACCCAACATCACCTAGTGAGTTCCGTGTCTCAGTCACTCGAGATTAGAACACAGAGCTTCCCAGTCTCACCCCAACACCGGCTCTTCAGAGATCCCTTATAACAGAGATCTGCACTGCTCTGCTTACAATATCTGAAGGATCATACGCTTTTCCATGTGGTGACTTACCAAGATATTGGGGGGAGGGGAAGAGAGGATTTCTGTAGACTAGGATTCTAAACTCATTTAACACGGAGGAAATCTCACTGAATTCCAAGGAATTTACTTCTGAGTAGAGAATTTTTAAAATGTATTAAGAACTCTGTGCTACTCAAAAACTAGCACATATTATTTTATACTAAGAGAAGATGGTGCAGTAAAATAAATCTTTACTCTTTCTCTCTTGTTCTTTCCAAACTGACACAGAAATTGTCCCAGTTTACCAGCTTGGGGTGTGCGTATGTGTCACAAAACAGAACAGAGTGAATCTTAGTAACAAGACCATAACTTATTTGCCTCAAAAGCAGGAGAGACACAGATGTTGACATACCTGACAACAACAAAAAAGCCCTCTACGCCCTTAGTATGAGAGTGTGCTGTTCAGCACCACGATGTAAGTAATTGGTCAGTGTCAAACAACAACAAACCACCCTCCCATATTCACAATGTCTAAGCACTTGGCGGAGAGTGTAGGGACCCCCTCTGTTTTAAGAGAGCTCTTTTTCACCACTACAAATATTTCTCCTCTTTTCCCCCACTCTCCAGTTCACAGACAGTGTAGAGGCACCCCTTTCCTCTCAATTTTTACTAGATCACCAGAGCAGAAATGCAAAGTCCAAAGTTAAGGCTATCTAACAGCAAGATAGAAAGAAACCCTCCCTGGTGTATTGACCAATCTGGAAGTACAGTTCGTGTACTTCTCTCTTAATGAACTAAGTATATCAGTTGTTTATTAATAAAGGGGATCTACACAGACTTGGAGATGATACTTTTTAAAGGGGTAGGGATACTTGAATTGTTTTTCATCTGCAGCAACCAAGAAGCAGCCTCTCAGAAGAAGGCAAAGAGGGTGCCTTGCCGTGCCCCCCCCCCGCCCTGCTCTTATTCTGGACTGTAGCTGATGGGAAGATTTCCCGTCAAGCAAGTTCTCCAAGCCGAAGGTGAAGACCGAGGACGGGCTCCCCAGCGGCCAGAGAGGAGGATGCTTCCGCCCGATGGGGCTCCCACGGCACAGAGCGGGAACAGGCCCGCGCCGAGCAGGAGGGAGAGGCCGGGGGGGGGCACCGAGGAGACTCACCGGGCAACCAATAAGGCGGGGGGTTCTAGTTTTCCTTTCTTTTAATACTGTTTAGGCTCCCCAATAAGTGCTCTCTCGCTCTCTCTCTCACACACACGCAATGACACAACAGACGCACGTTCTTCTCCTTCAGAACCAGTAATTGGGGAAAAACACTAGCACGCAGCGTCATTCCGTTCTCACGATCCTGGAACACAGCTCGGAACCCGCATCGCCACCGCACGCTCGGGTTGAAAACAGCGCGCTTTTCGACCCGCTCGTCCCTACCTATGCGCGGGAGGGCGGCGGCGGCACAGCCAAGGCGGACTGCTCCCGCGTCCCTTCACACGAGAGCTGGGTTCTACGCGGGTTTTATGCTCGCCTCGTTCCGGCTGCGGGCGGAGGGACGCAGAGCAGCAGCCGGGCTGCGGGCGGACGCCGCGGCGGTGGGGCCGGTGGCGCAGAGCAGGCGCCCGCCTTCCTACCTGGAGCCGCCGA